AAAAAAAAGAAAAGTGATACAGGAGGCCCTCCCTGGCACTGCAACGGGTTGGGACGCAGCACTGCAAGCCAGCCACAGCCACTTCAGTGCAAGCTTGAACCGTGCCCGAAGGTGACCCACACAGCGCAGCAGACCTCTCCTGTGTCCCCACTGTTCCCCTCAGCAGTGTATTTCCGTCTGTGTTGAAGCCTCTCACACCCCACACCTCTGGCCTGTACCCCAGTTCTGCATGCATAAATAAATAGATCTTTATTAAAAATCACAAATGATTTTTTTACTTAAAAAAAGTGACACAGGAATTCCACTATGCTTTTTGTTGTTTTTTAAAGATTTGTTTATTTATGCATACAAGTGTGGGGTGAGAGGACTCACCAGAGACAGAGCAGGCAGATCTACCGAAATACTCTGCTGAGGGAGCAGTGGGGAGACAGGAGAGGTCTGCTGCACCCTGTGGGTCCCTCCCTTCCCCAGGATTGAACTTGTAGCTGCTGCTGGCTTCATAGTTCTGAAACTAACCTCTGTGCCACCAGGGAGGCCCTCAGGAATCCCACTATGTATGCAAAAGATTGCAAAGCAAGGTCTTGGAGAGGTATCTGCACACCGATATTGACAACAGCATGATTCACCACAGTCAGAAGGTAGGAACAACCCCACTGACAGGTGAATGTGGTACTGGAATCACCTATGTGGTTTCCCTTTCACCAATAAGAATAATGTTTTGAGGACAAGAAAAATGGTTTTATTTATTTGCTGACAAATGAGAAGGGTAGCAGACTAGAGTGTGAAAATCTACCAGGCAGCTTACAGAGTTTAGGGGTATTTAGGGTGACAAGGAATAAAAGCAGGTTACAAGGGGCTGGTGACTTTGTTGATGTCACTTGTCACCATCTGACAGTCAGCAATTCAGTCATTGCAGGGCTCTGTCCTTGGCTTTGTTTTGAGTTTTGCAGAAGGCCCTTTGCCCTCGGAATGCAAGGAAAAAGCAAGAGGTTTAGCATGTATATCTAGACTTGCTAACCTCAGAGGGGGAAGGAGTGTCTCTCTCTCCGAGGCAGGCGAGAAATTGCTCTATTGAATGGATAAACACAATGTGGTTCACTCACTACATGGACTATAACTCAATTTTAAAAATGAATAGTCCTAAAATATGTTTGAATCTTGAGCATATTATGCCCAGTGACCCAAAGAACACCCACAGTGTGATCCAGTCACAGCAGGGCCTGGAGTCTCGTCCACAGAGACAGGAAGTAGATGGTGGGTGTCAGGGCTTGGGGAGGGGAGGAGGAGTTTCCGCTTGGGAAGGTGAGAAAGTTCTGGAGACAGAGAGCAGGGACAGCTGCACAACTGTGCGAATTAATGCCACCGAGCTGGGCACTTAAACATGGTGAACACTGTATATTTTGTTTATTTTTTGCATAAAAACTAATAAGTGTCTGGGTAGAGCTGTGGGGCAGGTGGGACGGAGAGCCAGGGACTGCTCTGCCAAAGACTCCACTTTTTCCCTAGGTCGGTCTTGTGGCCAGGGCAGGGACCGTCCTCCATGGTCATGTCACCCCAGTCACCCCTTCGGAAACAGTGTGTGTTGAGAAGAGAAGGGGCTTTCTAGACTCAGGGCTCCTTCCTTGAGCCAAGTTTAGGCCCAAGGATGCAGATGAGGGCAGGTCCCTGTCCCAACCAATGGGCCTGAGGCAGCACGGAGGGTTGGTGTGAGGGAAGGACTTGGCTGGAGGTCTCCACTTGACAATCACTTTCTCCCTAGAGATTTCCCACCTCAGGAGCCTCACAGCTCATCTTTCTCTCCAACCGTGTGGGTGTTCTCATCCCACCCCTGCACCAGATTGGAGAATCTAAGATCCTAGGACCCTAATATGCAGCCAAACACAGAACCCGCAATACATCTGACATGGATCAGTGTTGAATGATCCACCCTCAAGTCTAATGGGTGCAGAGGACCCTACCTTAAATGCATAATGACTGGAGCAAGCACTCATGATTGAAAGCAGGAATGCAGGGCCCTTCCTGGTGGCACAATGGGCTGGGACGCAGCACTGCAAGCTGCCACAGCTGCTTCAGTGAGAGTTCGATCCCTGGCCCTGGAGGTGACCCACAGGGCGCAGCAGACCGCTCCTGTCTCCCTGCTGTGTACTTCGTTGATTTGCCTGTTCTGCTCCCCATTCTGCTTCTGGTGGATCCTCTCACCGCCCCTGCACCTCTGGCCTGTACCCCAATTTTGTATGCATAAATAAATAAATTTAAAAAAAAAAAAGGAGGAACACAGACAAGGGCAGAGTGCAGCCTCATCTAGCATCTGGGGCAAATCCCGCTTGCAAGTGCGACTTCTCTCACTAGGGAAATCCACATTGCATACAATGAACCACTTGAAAGCAAAAATTTCAGTGTCTGTCACAGTGCTATGTAGCCTCCACCTCTCTCTAGTTCCAGAATATTCCTTCCCCAAGAAGCCCCGTCGCCCGTGGCAGTCACCCTCATACCACCGCCAAGCCCCTGACACTGCAAACTCATGTTTTGTTGCGGCTGTGCCTGTGCTGGACAGTTTCCCTCCGTGGACTGGCTCCCCATGTGGCCTCTGGCCTCTCTCCCTGAGCATTGTGTGCTCAAGTTCCCTCCATATTGTAGCCTGTGTCAGAGTCTCACTTTTCATGGCTGACTAGTACTCCGCCGGGTGACCGGACCAGACTGTGTTTATCTGGTCCCTGTTGTGGGCACCTGAGTGGACGCCACCATTTGCCGAGTCATGCTGCTGTGGTCCTGTGTGTGTTGGACTAGATTTTAGATGCTGTAAATTCGGTGCTCCTGTTTAAATCTAGGGAACCATCACATAAAGATCAAAATCCCTAGTCTCTCTATGAACACCCTGGGTGCACCCACAAGCCACTGCCACAGATGCCCCTCCAAGCAGGGGACTATCTGTGAAGGTCACCTCTCCACACCCAGCCCAGATCTCTCTCTCCCTTTCTTTTTCAAAGATTTATTTATATATGAATACAAGAGCTGGGGTACAGGCCAGAGGTGCAGGTAGGCTGTCTGGTAAGAGAATTTACCAGAGACAGAGCAGGGCAGACCCACCAAAGCCCACTGCTGAAGGGAGCAGGGGGTAACAGGAGAGGTTACCCTGCGGGGCACTCCCTGGTGGGGGAGGGAACCCGAGCTGCAGGGGCTGCAGACAGCTCCACAGTGCCACGTTTTCACTCGTTTTACCACCAGGGAGGTTCCTAGCCCGGTTCTCTTGAGCATTTGGACTGGGACTGCTTCCCTCCGTGTTCTCTAGGCTTCTTCAAGCCCGGGCGGCAGGAGGCTGGTGCCGCAGCTCCAAGCTGGGGCTGTTTCCTGAACTCACACTTAGTGCTCCTCAGCTTTGTCGTGGTCCTTTGTTCAACAAATATTTACCAAGTTCCTAGCAAGTGCCAAGCACTGTGCTAGACACACCCTCGAGCAGAGCAGCACCCTGGATGGCATCAAGCCCTCCGGGAAGCAGAAAATGCTACGGGAGAAGAGGCAGACCAGGGTAGCGGGTGGGCAGTGTGTGCCACAAAGTCCTCTGGGGAAGGTGGGATTTGAGCACTGCAAAGCAGGGTGAGAGCTCGGAGGAAGCCTGGTGGGAGTGGGTGGGGGAGCATTCTAGGCAGAGGGCCTTGGTATGTGTATTAGTCCTGGGAGTGGAGGAGGAATGGCAGAGGAAGGTGAGGGAGCAGAGAGAGGAGAAACGGGGCAGGCAGGGCCTTGTGAGCTGCAGAGAGCAGGGGCTTTAACCTCCAGGTGGGGGCAAAGGTGGGGTTCTGGGCTCCGAAGGGCGGACCGCGCTCGGTGGCTCGCACGCGCCCTCTAGCGGCCTCTTCCGGGAGGACCACCTGTCGGGGAGAGGGCGGAGCCTGAGCTGGGTGGAGGGGCCTGTGCTGGTCCAGCTGAGCGATAATGGGGTCCACTCCAGGTGGAGGGGTCCACTCCAGGTGGAGGGGTCCACTCCAGGTGGAGGCAGAGGACGGGAGAAGGGGCCGTCCTGGATATGTCCTGAGATAAAAAACCCGGGGAGGCTCCTGGACCGACTGGACGTGGTGGCAATGAGACAGAAGGTAATCAGCGCGGAGCCTCGGCCACCTAGGGGCTGGGAGCATCCCCGGCTTGGAGCTGGAACAGGTCCTGTTAGTGATGGTCCTGCAGCGTCACTGGCCATTGCCTGTGGCGGGGAGATGGGGGGCGATGTGCAAGATGAGGAGTTGAGGCTGAGGCAGAAGGGGTCCCGGAGTTCCCAGGAATCAGGAGGGACACCCTTGTAGTTTTCCAGGGCATGTGCCCCACTTCCTAGAACATTGCCCAAAGGGGCAGAGAACCTGACCATAGCTGGGGGGCAGGGGCACAGGGGTCCCTCTGGAAAGGGCAAGGGGAAGTGGGTGGAGCAGGGTGGGGTGAATGCAGAGCCCACCCCCAGCTCCCTTGAACTGGGTGGCGGCTGGGAAAGCAGGCCCCTAGAAGAGGTGGGTGCTGCAGTATGTGGGGCGGCCCCCACTCGGTGGGATCCTCACTTCCCAGGGTTGGAAACAGGAGCCACTGGGGAGGACCTGTGCTTCCCCACCTCTGGAATCCAGGATGCCACTTGGTAAAGCTCCCAGAGAAGCCGAACCGGCCCCCTACGGCCTCCGCTAGCCAGTTGCAGGCTGGCATACAGTAGGCACACAGTAACAGCTGGACGCCTGCTCACAGGAGCCAGAGGGGCTGGGACGACTGGGTGGGATGGGGGGGGGCCCAGGGAGTGTTCTGGCCACACCCCGTAGCTCCCGCGGTGGGAGTCACTAGGTGGAGGCCCAGAGCTTGTCATCAGGCCTAGTGCCCATCAGAAGCTCGGGAGGAACAGATGTCAGACACAGGCCGTGGGCAGCAGGCGCCCTCCAGAGGCAGGCCCCAAGCCCTCATTTCCTGTCATGGGACTGGCCAAGACCCTGAACCCTAGCCCACTGCCTTGGCTTCTCCAGGAGGCTGGTGACCAGGGATGCAGAGGTCTGGGGCAGGCAGTGGGAAATACCACAGACACCAGAGTCAGGTTTAAAAAAGGGCTTGTTTAATTAAATACAAGGATGAGGCCAGGCAGGGCGGGGAAGGAGGGCACCACCTGAACGCACGGCCCCTCACGCACCCCTCCTTCAGAGGCCGCAGCTAGACAGACAGACAGCCAGCAGCGGCCGCTTGGGGTTGGAAGGACACAATTTCTCAGGACCCTGGGTGGGGCCCTGGGACTCACCACCCTCCCGCAGGTCAGGCACAGGTTGGGCTGGGTGATTAAGGGGCCAGCTGGACAGACACAAAGGAAGGGGGCCCCCGCACACCGCCCACCTCCACGCTAAGGCACCTCACCAACACTGGAGGGGGGGTCTGAGGGTACAGACCAACAGGCCCCACAAGGCCATGCCCAGTAGCTAGACCCCATCCTAGCTCCAAAAGGAACCCCCAAACCCCAGGCACCATCCCTGGATCCTGCCAGGTGGGTCTGGGTCTAAGCCAGTGCCATCCAAGCCCCCCAGTCCCCAACTGGGAAACAGGAAGGTTCTGGAACAAGTGGGGGTACCAAAAATCTCCTGCAGTCAATGGTGGGGGGATAGGTGTCTTTCAGAGACTGGGGACAGGGAGCCCGAGCCCCTCCCAACCCAGGGTGGGGAGCCTCAGTCTCGTTCCGAAAGGACTTCCAACCCAAGCTTCAGTGGGAAGACAGCAGGCGGGCGTAGCATGTATCCCCCCCACCCCCAAGTTCAGATCATGAGACCCCCCCACACCCCTGAGGACAGTGATCCAACCAAGGCTGGATCAGTAAAAGAATTGGCGCCTGAAAAAATACTCTACGCGGTCCAAAAAGCAAGCTGTCGGGGCTCAGGCGTGAGCCTGCCGCCCGGGCATGGCGGGGCCTCCAACTGCCCAGGTACCAGCAAGGGGGTGTTCAGGGAAGAAAGGGGGATCGGGACAGAGCTGGCACACCCAGCGATGGGGCCCGGGGGGGCTGATTGTCATGTGATGCTGTCCAAGGCGAAAGTTGGGGACCCTACCCCTGGGGAGCTGGCCAGTGAGCTGACCTCCCCACAGTCTCTCACACACACACTCACAAGCCTGAGGGGCAGCGCAGCCCCCACACCAGCAGAGACAGAGGAAAATAAATAAGCCAACATTCACTCCCATCTCGTGATAGCCACCCCCTCCCCCCAAAATGAGTCAAAACGCTCTTTGGAAGAACCCCAGTTTCTCTCCTCTGTATCCCAAGCTTCAAAACCAAAACCTGGATCCCCACAGAAACCTACCACCCCCCCACCCCCCGCCCTGCCCCACCATCTAGGGAGCAGGGAGGCCCCACCTGTGGGCAGTGGGGTGGAACTTGTGGACACCTGAGATTGAGTACCCGAGTGGGGCCCCGTTTCCCTGAACGTCCCCAATGGCTTTCAGTGGGGCGAGGGGCCCCAGGCTGGGGGGGAGTGGGCACAGGGTCACCCTGGTTCATCTATGGCTCTTTGCACACTTCATTCCAACCTGGAGGAGAGGCCTGGGCAAGGTGCCTTTCCTGGGGCCTTCCCACTTCCTAAAGTGGGGTGATCGCCAAGGGGGCGGGGAGCGCCTGCTGGCCACCCATCTGGGGACCCTGTTTAACAGATGGGAAGAGTGGACAGTCACGGGTCATGGCTATTTACAGACGCGAGCCCAGTCCCACGCGGCGCGCCCAGTCCAGTCTCGGGCCCCTGCTTGCTTTCTTGAAGGGCAGGGTCATCTTCAGGGCCCGCGGGGGCGGCCGGGGGGACCGGGCTTGCTGTCAGCGGGGGCCTCGCCCGGCCCTGCACAGCAGGCGTGTGGCTGGTGCTCCGTGCCCCTGTCCAGCGGGGGGGTGGGGTGGGGGCGCTTGGGGGGGCTGACACAGGGCCCTACAGACCAGCAGGGGCTGGGCTGGGCACGGGGCTGGGCGCTGGGCTGCCTGCCAGGCTGCAGGGCAGCGAGTCGCTGGGCGAGGCGCTGCGGGCTCCCGGGCGCCGGAGCAACTCCGGGCGGAAGTCGGGGTGGCGGCGGGCGTGCTTGGTCAGGTGGTCGCTGCGGGTGAAGCGCTTGCTGCAGAGCGGGCAGGGGAAGCGCTTCTCGCCCGTGTGTGTCCGGTGGTGGCGTGCCAGCTCATCTGAGCGAGCGAACTTCTTGTCGCAGCCAAGCCAGTCGCAGGCGAAGGGCCGCTCACCTGCGGGGAGGCAGAGGACAGGGCTGGTCAGTGGGTGCCGGGACAGCCCATCGAGTCAGCGGATCCCCGTCCTGTGTGTGACTGCTGGCCCCGGGGGCCGTGATCTGGCTGTGGATTTGTAACACGCCAAGGAGAGGGCCCCACTCCCTTCATGTGTTCCTCAACGCCCCTTTATTTCCCAGGATCCCGACACCCCAGAAACAGTTTCCATCGCTTAAAGGGGGCCCTCCAGATGCCTCTGCTAACAGGCTGCCCCTCCCAGGAGGGGCGCCCCCCGTGACCAGGGACTCCCCTGTGCCACCCCACACCCGAGCTCCAAATGCAGGTGGCTTTTTGGTGGGGCTTTGCCCACGCTCCTGCGGGCATTCCAGAGCCTGGCAGGTGCCCTGACCCCACCTCTGTAAATAACCACCCCGCCCACGAAGGGCAGGGAGCGACTGCCGACTCCTGCGGCCCAGCGGCCAGCGCAGGGCTGGCCACCTGCAGCGCCGCAGACAGCCTGGCCCGCATGGCCCCTCAGCCGCGCGGTGGAGGGCAGGGCCTGGCGGCGTAGGGCAGGGCCTGCCGCGGGGCACCGCTCAGGAGCAGGGTGGGGCTCGGGGGCCAGAGGCCTCGGGACGGCCCCGCCCCCACGGAACAGATGGCGCCAGCACCAGGCAGCGCCGCCACCCAGCAACTTCCTCCGCAGACCCCTCCCATCATCCTCGCCCATCCTGCTCGACCTGGGGCCACCCAGCCCGCCCGGCCCACCCGCCAGCCCCTGGTCTCTACCCCGCCTGACCCCCTATCTGACGGGGCCACAGTCCTGTGGTCAGGGCATCCCCAACTGGCCGAGGACGCCGAGGGGCCACGCTGGGACGCGGCCATGCTGGGCCCCGCCCCAGACCACGGGCGCATCCGCCATTCAGCCCGTATCCTCCAGCCCTCCCCCCACCCCCAACGTGTCGTTTGCGGGGGGGGGGGCGCTCAGGGCCCCCCCCATGGGGTAGACCTAGCCCCCATGCTGCCTCCTAGTGGCGAACCGCGGAAGACGGAAAGGAGGGAGCAGGTTAGGTTGTACAGGACAGGGCCCCGCATGGTTGGGGTGTCACCACTGGGTCCTGGCCGCTACCTCAAGGGTTTGGGGCACGAGGGTAGAGGTGACCCGGGACTCCCTGACGGAAAGAACGCACCCACCTGCAGATGCAGGGGCTACACAGACAGAAACGGATCCCTCCCCCAGAGTCAGATGAGGCCCTGGCAGGAAACCCGGGAGTGAACTGCAGACAAGCTGGCCAGAGGGCGACCCACAGCCTGGGGCAGGCCCAGGTGAGGGGTGACCTGTGCGTCTCCAGCTCTAAAAGGCGACGCCAGAGAAACCCCCCTCACCCATCTGTTCCTCCCAGCAGAAGGCAAGTTCAGGCGTCCACACGGCCCCTACCCCTGGAGTTTCCTGGGGGGCTACCGGTAAGTCATGCTCACAAGGACAGATGCGGGCAGCCTGTCCACCCAGGTGTCCAAGGAGGGATGCTGGCCACCGCGGAGGAGGTGGCTGGGCTGCGGCAGCGAGGGGGGCAGCTGTCCCCAAGGCTGCAGGGCGCCCCAGGGCCCCACCACACTCCAGGCCCGGGGAACAGTTCAGAAGGGTCGGTCAGCAGCACCAGGGCAAGGGCGCGGGGCAGCCCAGGCCGGTACCCCCACACCATGGTGGCCCCTGCAGGACCACAGGGGGTGGGGGAGAGGGCGTCCGGTTAGGAGGGGGTCTGTGGCGGCTCGGGGGCACGCAGTCCTGTCACCCTCTTGCAGAGGCAGTGAGGGGCATGCCAAGGGCCCTGTCTTCCCCTGACAGGGCCGTGTGGCTGGCCCCCGCTCCCAGCCTCCCCTCCCCAGGCAGCCTGAAGGTCGCAAAGAGCCCAGCACCGCCAGGCAGGACGCGAGGCTGGGAACACAGCTGTTGCACGTAGCGAGAGGCTGGGGTGAGGGGGACATCCTGCTCACGTGGCTCCCGCCGGCCAAGCACCAGGCGGGGGTCCTGGCCTGGAAGCCTGCCAGCCCCACCCCTCGCCTGGTTGCTGGGGAGCACCGAAGCACACGTGGGTGGCAGATACCCAGGTGCACAGACTTCCTGCCCCCACACCTGCAAGACGCCAGGCCCTGCCACGCTCTCACAGTAAGCTCTCCAAGGAGGCATCGCTTGGAGGCTCAGTCAGGGCTGGGGGAGAGCCCAGGTGAGGCCGCTGGACTGTTCTGGCTACTGCAGGGGCTGGGACAGTGGGCAGGGCCAGGGAGGACTTGACCCTCTGGCTTGGACTGAGCTACATGAGCTCGGGACAGGAAAGGTTGGCACCATGGTGCCCCCAGACAGACAAGTGGAGAGCAAGAGTCCTGGAAATGGTAGATTCCTGGCTCCCTACCAGGCCCCCAGCCTTTGTGGGGGAGAGTACCCCATTCCCTGGGGCAGAAGTCAAGGGCTGTGGATCTGGCCGCTAAGCTTCACGGGACCGGGGTCCCCCGAGAGGGTGGGGAGGGAGGTGTAGCTGGCAGGTGGAGCCTGCACAAATGCCCCCCACCAGGTGGAGAGCACCAGGAGGGGTATGGGTGGGGGCGGGGTGCGCAGACAGGAGAGCAAAGGACGCTGCGCTGCAGGTTGAGGCGTGCTACAAGGGACTTCAAGAACCCAAAGCACAGTCTTAGCAGCAGAAATGACGGTGAGGTTGGATAGCATGGAGGGGGTTACCCCGTGGTTGGATGACCAGCCTGTGAGGGGGTGGGATCTTCAACACCCCCCAGTGCTGCCCCCACAAACCCAGGGCTATCATCATGCTCATCCCACACACCTCTTCTTCTGCGCGGGCCACATTCCCTCCTGTCTCTTCAGTTCTGTCCCTTTTTCGCTCATCACCTGTCAGACAAGTCTCCCTGACCCTGGTGTCCCCCAACACTGACCCGTGTTGGTTCTTCTACCCCGTGATCAACTTCCAAATACTTGCACGTCCTAGGTGTGACATGTCCCCCCACCCTCTGCAAAATGAGGCATGGGGGCACCCCATAGGTACTGGACACACACCTGCGAGAGTCTAAGGGTCACGTGTCTGCTCCTCCGCACCCCACCACAGGCAGGAGCTATCACTGCTCCCGAGGACTTGAGGGGGATTCCTACAGCACCTCAACCCTCCCCCCTGGGGGGACAAGGCTGCCTGGCCTGGCAGGCACCCAACTCATTCCCCACCTAAACTGGCATCTTCAGGATGGGGGCCCTCAGGTACCCCATGAGTTTCAGAGGCCTGCTGTTCTGGAAAGAGTCCTGAGGGAGGGAGGCGGCTCCTCACGTTGGTATCATCCTCTAACTTGACGGCCATCTGCACCAGCTTTATCAGGGAGCCTGATGGGTGGGGGGTGGTTATCGCCCTTGCAGTGTTGGGGGTGCCCTCCCCTACCCCCCAAGCTGGGGCACAGATGCCCTATCCACTGGAAGGGGGTGAGGTGGGGAGGCTGTCCCTAGGTGCCTGCCAATGGTTCATGACTACCCCTGCCACTCCTTGGGCTCGGCAGTCCCCCACGTTGGACCCCCGATATGCTACCAGTATCAAGAGTCCCACCAGATTGGGGGGGGGGCAGGGCATGGGGTCAGTAGCTCATTCGACATCCCCATGATGGGAGGGGGCGGGGTCAGTGACACATCACCCCCTGAAACTCATTTTCTGATAGACTTGTCCTCCCGGGCATCACCACCCACTCCCTGCAATCAGAAAACTGGGGGTCACCTTAGCTGCCTCCTGCCCCTCTCCCTGAAACCATTCCAGCCCACAAAGCAGCAACTCCTCTCCAAATCCCTCCTCCATAAACGGATTTTCCTCTGCAAAGCCTCCCCACCCACCCTCCTCCACCCTGCCCTCAGGATTAAATGCCTGCTCTGCCCCCCACCCCACCGGCTTCTCAAAGCCCAGCCTGTCTCTGCCCCCAGCTCCTGCAGCTAGGGTGCAGTCCCCACTCCTGAACACACCCCAACCTGCTCACCGGACCCAAAGGTCCAGGTCTCGCAAAGAGAGATTTCTTGCTCCAGAAATCTTCCATCAGTCGCTGTCACCCCCACCCCCACAAGGCCCCAGGAGGCCCCAGGGCACTGGGCTGAGTGGGCCCAGGCCCGCATGCTTTGTACACAGCGGATGCTCAACTGCTGTTTCTCAGATGTAAGCAGAGGTGGCTTTAGAGTAAAATGGGGAGAGGGAAAGGGCACCTTGCCCCCCAGAGAATACTGGGTGATATCTGGGGACAGCGGTGGTTGTGTAAATGGGGGCGCTCCAGGCACTGAGTAGGTGGGACCAGGCAGTTACTCAACACCCCATAATGCCAAGGACAGACCCTGCACAGATGCAGCCCTCCTCTGTCAGCAGGAGACCTAGGCTAAAAGCCGCATTTTCAGATTGAGCTCCCTCTGGGGGGGCAGGGGGGTAGGAGCCAAAGCCCCCAAGAGCTGACTGCAGGCTGGGCACTGGGGAGCAGAGGGAGCGAGCAGTCCAGAGGCGGAGGAGTTGGGAGAGCAAGTAGACAGCAGCCTCTCCTCCGCCCCCGCCCCATCTCCGAGCTCGCACTTTGGTATCCATGGCAACAGCGTCAACATCTCCTGCGGCTTCCAAAGTCCCGCCCCTTGCAGGAAGCTCCACGCAGGGCCAGAGGCTCCTGGCCAGACTCAGGGGCTGGGAACAGGACACCAGGGTCCCCTGTGGCTTGATGGCCCTGTGACAAGATCCCCCAGGCCCTCCCAGTCTCCCCACGACCTTTGCCAGTGGAGCAGTGATGATGGGGTGCCTCATCCACTGTATCCCTGGGCCTGTCACTAACAAGCCTTTGGTGGCCCAGGACAAGCTCGGCCTTCCCCACCCCTAAAACAGACCACTGGGAGCCAGAAAACACCAAACACGCAGTCCTTAAGCACAGAGGTGCCCAGAATCTCTGAAACAGCAGCGAAGGTGCCTGGGCCCTGAACATCCGCTCAACAGTCAGTGCGTCTAGGGGCTGTGCCCCAGGCCCCTCACACCATTATAAAGGGGACTCTGGGACAGAGCAGCCCCCTTGGGCTCAAAGGGTTGTGGTGGGGTGGTCATTCCCCCACCTAGTCTCTGTCCCCACTCCTGAAAATCCTTTTTCCCACTGACCTCCCAGGTCTCAGTTTCTCCATTAAAAAGTGAGGATGGCGGGCCCTCCCTGGTGGCGCAGCGGGTAAAGCGCAGCACTAAGAAGCTAAAGCCACTTCAGCAAGAATTCGATCCCCGCTCACCCCAGAGGTGACCCACAGGGCGCAGCAGACCTCTCCTGACCACCCACTGCTCCCCTCAGCAGCGTACTTGTCAGTCGGCCTGTTCTGCTCCCCACTCTGTCTCTGGGGAATCCTCTCGCCACCCCCGCACCTCTGGCCTGCACCCCAGTTCTCTATGCATAAATAAATAAATCTTAAAAAAAAAAAGTGAGGATGGCAACACTGCCAAGGGTGGTTCTGGCCAAGGGTGGTTCTGGGATGGAAACGTTAACCCCAACCCAAATAACAGCTGACTGTTGAGAAAGAAGTGGGCAGAGGCGCCAGGTCCCAAGGGGGGAGGGGAGGGACTCTGCTCCCCTCCCTAGACCCTGCGGTGGGCCTGGGGTGCTGTGAGCTATCTCCTCACCACAGTGGGCAACCCTCATGTCCGGTGTGCTCTCCACCTGCCCACAAGCCCCTCGACAGGAAGGCCATGCTTCCCGGGCCCTTTATGCAGATGGGAAAACCAAGACCTCAAACCCTCTGCCAGACCCGAGAGCCCAGTGCCGGCTCCTTTCCCAGCCCTCTGCCATGCCTTCCACAAGGGGTCACACACCGCCAGTCGGTCGGTCACCCAGGTCGGTCACCAAGGGAAGCTTCAGGTCCCCCATTTCAAATTCCCAGCCTGGAGTGGGCCCCCAAGGGGAGAAGGAGGACCTACGGGGATAAGGGGCGGTGGTGTCGGCGAAAGTGACCGGCCCACCCACCTCTCTGCCCCTCGGCTCCCCTCGGCGCCCCCCAAGGCGAGACAATGTTGCTAGGAGAGGTGATAGTGTAGCACACACACACCCTGCGCACCTGCCAGGCCCCGGTGGCAGCTGGGGAAAGAACACGAGGAGGCCCTGACGCCCGCGCGGGGCGCTCTGACCAGCCCCTCCTCTCCAAACTCTGGCCCCCAGCCGAACTGCCGGCCCAGCCCACTGCCCGATCACAACACAGAAGGCAAAGAAAACGCGCCGGCCAACCCCAGCCCGGGCCCAGAAGCGGGCGCTCGGCCGCCCCAAGGGGCAAATCCTTGCCGCCACCCCGGAGGCGGCGATACGGCTCCTCCGCACTCGCCATAGCTAGGGAAGCTGAAGCGGGGAGAGACAGCTCAAAGCTGGACGCTCCAACCACCGCTCAGATCACAGAGCAACAGAAAATAAAAGAGAAACCAGGC